TTGAGGGGGTCTAATTTCAAAAAAAATTCTGGGGAGGGCCACCTAGATCCCCCCTTCGCGTGCTCGCTACTCGTGTCCCCCCCACATTTCAAAATGGATTTGCGCGCCTGCAGGCTACGGCCCTGTACATTATATATGATTATTATTACACTCCGGATTGTATGCGGTGTTTTTAGCAAGGAGCTATATTAGATGATTAGACGTATAGATTATGTTATAATGATTATAGCTCCTTGGTTCTAACTTCTCAGGTGCCTGAAAGTGCAAGAGCAGGGCGTGTGGCACCCTCTGGTGGATTTTTAGTACTCGTAGTGAGTAATCAAGATGTCAGCGCCCAGGACAACTCCCACATCAAACAAGCATAGAGAAAACGGCGGAGATATAGCATATTCATGGAGTATTCGAGAACGGGATTATGAAGCGGAAAAGGCGAACCATGCTCTTCCGTCTGAAGAAGTGTTTGATTATCCATTAAAACCAATATGTGTATGTATGGCGTTCAGCTGAATCAGTCAATTATGAATTGACTTATAATTCTTGGCATTGGTATCTGGATTGGTAGTAGTGCTGGTACAAGTAGCGTTTACACACCCATGTCGTGAGTTTGGTTAGGGTTATGGTTAGGGTTAGGGTTTTTAAACCTGGGGTTGTCAAATAGGAATGGGCCGTAGTGCTCATAAGGGCTATGTCTCCCAGGGTACTACCGGAACGTAGCTATCTGATAGGGTTATGATTAGGGAGTAGGCGTAGGCGACTCCCTAGACTCGTTAGTGGAGTAGGCGAGGGTACGGTCTGGCATATTACTATTAGATAGTACCAGGGTACCGGTACGTTCCGGTATATCGGACCGTACCCAGTGTACGTTCCGGCAGTACCCTGGGGGATATAGACCCTCTCAGTGGTAGTAGTACTAGTAGTATTACTATTAGTATTAGTAATCCGGTGTCTAGAAGTAGAAGTTCTATTTATAGGGTTTAATTGCTGAAGGGACATATAACTGTAGTGGCCCTAGGGGTAGCGACTACGGTACGACAGGCGTTATATAGTTAATGCGTGTCCTAGTTGTTTGGATTCAGTGTTCGCTTCTGCCGTTATATTAGGCAGGACTGTGATGCCCGTAGCAAATAACAGGTAGTACCAGTGGAACAGAACACAGTTAGATTCGGTTAACTGTACGGTTATACTTTTATTGCTTCCTACTAGTTTACAAATAATTCCCCTGCATTCGTATATGCAGCGGATCCTATATCTATCTCGTCTAATATTACAGCATTAACGCGTCGCCGGCTTCGTCTTCCCCTCTCACGTACGTTCGTCCCCGCTTCGCCTAGACCTAGGTAGCCTCCACGGGGGTCTCCCTCGTAGTAGTTGCTTCTGGCTCTACCTAACTGAAATCCCGTTCTTCTCCACCTGTAGTGAAAGATCCCGGCTGAGCCCTCATTTTCCCTGTAGTCTTATTTCCTTCCTGAAAACCCGTGCTTCTCGTCCCTCTGTTATCTCTCTCCTCGAGACCTAAAATGCTTTCTCCCTCTTTCTCTTCATCCTCGGCTGCTTCTTCTCCTTCTTCTTCCTAAACCTAACCTGAAAAATAACGCTCCTGCTCTGCGATTCGGCGCCCCTTATATACCTAGCTGGCACCGCCCCCCTACGTGCCGTTGTTTTGCACGCGTTGTCAAAACACGCCGATTTCGTTCGCTGGTTCAATCCCTTTCACCTGATGACGCAACCCGTGTCTGGTACGATGATTGCATCATCTTATGAAACTCGTTTCTAAGTAAATATTCCTCTCTTCAACAACTTAGACTATTCATTCTATTCAGATCTCCTCGTATATTATGCTGACTAATAGTACATAACTGCGTTGATTATCATACTCTATATATCGCGTTCCTGTTTACATTCCTTGTTTTCCCTAGACCACCTCAGTATGTATGATCCAAGATGGCTGCGCCCAGGTGCATGTTGATATATTTATGTGCGGTCTATATTTTATCCTCTCTTTAGTCAATATATGGTTATTCCATCTATACTGCGAGTTAAATCTATCCCTCCTGATCTAGTCTACTGCCCCTGTGAGTTACACACCCCCGAAATCTCCACATAACTGTCACGACTGTGTGTAAATTACGGTGTAAACACTATTGAAATGGGGCTGCTGATAAAATTGGGATGCTATGTGATATAGTACCGATAAGTTATGATGTTTAACACATATGCGAACTGGTACCGGAGTCCCAAACTAGCATAAAGAAATATCCTAGTTTGCTGCAGTCGACACGTGCTGTGAAAATAGGTTTATCACTGGCATTAGGTAAACATCCTCACCTGCACAACGGAGCTAGAGTAGCTTTGATAGACAAAACATGGTATTAGAATAAAGCTACGTAGTTACAGAGGCCCTATGTTTCTGGAATCAAGCCTGATAGTACAATAAGCAATATATATTAACCATCCAACGCCCATATCTATTTTTTTCCCTGCAGGTTAGCCATGGAAAAATTAAGAGTAGTGGCAGTGAGAGGGCTTCAACCACATCATCATCGGGTGCGAGTACACCTAAGCGTGCTGCTGCCACCTCTGCCTTTTTGGATCCTCTTACATCAGTGCTAGAAGGAATGGATCCATTGTCCCAGATGGCTGAGCTAGATCCTCTCTCTCAAATGGCTATAGAGGTTCTGACTGAGATTTTCTTGTTGCCTTCTCACTGCCCAAATTTACTTCTCTATCACATAATGAAAGTTTGCAATGTAGTCTCAGATTGTTGACAATGAAATCTAAATGTACAAGAACCATGTTCTAATTAAGTGTATATGTCATACTTTTTGTCTATTTATCCTCGATAATTATCCAGCTCCCAAAGGTTTTTTTATATATCTATTGTTTGTAATGTTTGCATTTACGATTACAAGGTACCTAAATAAACAATTCAAAATCAAACCTCATCTTATATATGTTATTGTTTTAGATTGCAATATGAGGAGATGAATCTAAATATATTTCCTGTTTTTGTTTTTAGGCAGCAGCTGGTAGAAAAAGTTCTACTAGTCTAGGCAGTAAAAAGGCTAACACTCTCGATGATTCATTTGAGCCGTGGAAAAGTAAGAAAGGAGCTATACTTGCCAAGTACACAACATCCGAAAAGCTAACTTTTACCAGCTTTGACCTTTCACCTGCAGAGAAGGCAATACTTAAAGGACCTACATCTGTAACAGAGAAGGTAACAACTTGACTATAAACACGTACATGCCGTTACTTCATAAAGCTGGGTTTAAATGCATATTTCTTCATCTACGTCCAGTTCACGTGACTAAAATTATGAAGGCTATTGTGTAGAAATAGATATTTTGTTTTGATTTTAATTTTATAAAAGAATGTGCTTAATTGTAATTTTGCAACAACATGGCATTGTTGGCTTAGGTATACTAATTAATATCAATTAATTTGTAATTATATTAATTAATTATGCAATCTGTATTCACAAATATGTCACTATTTTGCCACTCACCACTGATAGGTCAAAGTGCTAAATTCTCATTGCTTCACTATATTCATGAAGAAGTTGGCAAATTATATGTCACACCTTTTCCTATATTAAATCTCTCATAAAGGGTCATTCTAAAGCGCAGCTTTGCTCCTCTCTACGAAAAAGAAAGAGCGGAATCCAATATAATTATGTTTAATATACAATTATTATTATATTATTATTATTATTATACATTATTATATTATTGCTGTGTGGATAATCGACGTGCGCTCGCGTTGTCTCGTTCAGGTGAAGAACCGTCTGGAGCAGCTGGATGACTTTGAGGAGGGTTCCGTGAAGGAGCAGCTGCAGCTGAGCCAGCAGGAGTACGTGCACCGCATCGACGAGCTCAACCAGTCGCTGCTCGCCGCCTGGGAACAGGACCAGAAGGTGAAGTCGCTCAAGATCGCGATCCAGTGTGCGAAGCTGCTCGCCGACGCCTCCGTCATCCAGTTCTACCCGAGCAAGTTCGTGCTCGTCACCGACGTGCTCGACACGTTTGGCCGCCTCGTCTACGAGCGCATCGTCGACAAGGCGTGCCATGTCGCGCCGGGCGCCGCCACGCGGCCCCCCGCCGAGCTCTCGCCCGAGCACGTGCCCGAGTCGGCGAAGGAGACGTGCCGCAACTGGTTCTTCAAGATCGCGTCGATCCGCGAGCTGACGCCGCGGCTGTACGTCGAGACGGCGATCCTGCGTTGCCACGGCTTCCTGCGCGCGGACGCGCACAGCGACGCGCTCGCCCGCCTCGCAGCGACGGCGCGCGGCGTCGGCGACCCGCTCGTCGCGCTGTACGCACGCGCCTACCTCTGCCGCGTCGGCATGCGCGTCGCTCCAACGCAGCGCGCCTATGTCGCCGCGTGCCTGCGCGACATTCTCGACACGTACCGGCAGGTCGGCGGCGACGCCGTGCAGAACGCGCTCGCGCTGCAGAAGGTCGACATGGCCGCCTACCTGCAGCTGTTCTCGCCGGGCCTCGACTGGGTGCTGCAGTGCATCGCGCACGGCGCGTCCGAGGGCACGCTGGAAGAGGTGCTCGCGCAGGCGCGCGCACGCTGCAACACCGCACTGCTGCTCAACTCGGTGATGACTGCGTTTCGGCCCGCGTACGTCGCGGCGCGCGCGCGTCACTTCATCGAGCACATATGCGACTGCGAGGACTCGGGCTTCCCGAAGCACCTGCTGTTTCGCACGCTCGGGCTGTGCCTGGTTGTCGCCGACCCGCCCGAGGCTCAGGTACGCCCGCGACGCGCATGCGGTGGAATCTCGGCGCGGGTGGTGGCCCGTCGCGAGAAACGTTGCGATTAGTCGTGACGAGTCAAAAGATGTTGTAACTTTTATGCAGCGTTTCATTTAAACTTTTAAGAGGCATTAGTCATACGAGGTTGTAAACATTTATGACGCTTTATTTGGGAGCAATAGAGTAAATGATTCAGCGGGCAGCATAACCACCAATATCAACTTTATCACCGTCTACTACTTCACCACCGTCATTCACCACTACTGCACCACCATTAGTAACATTTCTAATGAACAACTGAGAACATGTATAGGCTTTCAAATTTTAAGATAGCAATTATAATAAGTGTGCGCCTGATCGATCCCATCTGCTTATTTTGAGGGTAGAGTAAAATCAGTCGTATGTAAAGTATTAATATTAGACCATATTTACCTCTATGCTGCATATACTATAATCCCCTAAAATCCTGTTTATACGTTATCAATTGGTTCACATCTGATATATATACTATATGTACTAGAATCCTATTTACATGTTTTCAATCACGTTATTTATTGCAGA